ATGCCCCTCTACTCGATTTGCCTTGGTGCGAATGCCATCACGCAGCTTCCCCTCGACATGGAGCTCCTTCGCAAGTCGCTCGCTGTCCTGCGTCTCGACCGCAACGCGATCCCTGCTATCCCGACCCGCTTGTACGAGTGCGTCCCGGCTAGGGAGCTCTTTTCCATTTCTAGCGCATCTCCCTTTTTCCCCAACATCCATCACCGAGTCCCTCCATTAAGATTTTAAGCACTCTACAAAGCTACCTCACGCCTTCTCTATTCCACTGCGCCTTGCTCAATTCGATTCTTCGAAATTGACGTGCGCGTGTTGGCACAGTTAGGTAAATGCGCCGTCATTGTCGACGAGCAGCGTCGGCGATGTGTCGTACTCCTTGACCACGCCACCGTCAAGCACCAAGGCGCAATCTCAATCCAGAATCGTGTAGAATTGATAGGATATGAACGTAATGTACGCATCCTTGCAGCTGGAATTACTCGTTTCTCATGTGGTTGTTCCACATAAGAAGCAACGATTCAGGAATTTCTCGTCGTAAACCCCTCACTGCGAGTTCAAGGCGGTATTACGCGATTGCATCTAAGCTGCACGTGCTGCAACTCCCTCAGATTTCGATCCAGCTGCATGCCTCTGTAGAATTTGGCATACCGAGGCGCAACATATGCTACTGGGCCGTACAACTTGACGATATCCTTCCCAAGGCAACAATCATCACCGAAGACATTTGGTGTAGCCCTATAGGAAACGACGGAAATCCTTCCCCCGCTGTAATCGATCAAACTTCGTGAATTATTGTATTTTGGACATGCACCAAAATGCGCATTATATTAAAAGAAAATTTGGCCAATCGATGACAATATTTTCCAAGCGCCTGATATGATATAAATTTATGTGGCTGTCGTCAAACAATTACCAACACATTCTTACTGACACTTAGTTTACTTTTATCCTAGAACCTTTTTGGTATTATCACTGAACTACGGAGGTGCAGAAGTTATCAAAGTGCCTTTTGGCTGAGCAGTTTGGTGTTCGCTGTCATTGTGACCCAAGTTAAACTATCACTTTATATATATTTTATTCAAATTCTCGCAAGGCATTAGTATCGCACCAGGACGAATTTCTTTTATTATATCACACCCCAAGAAGATTATTTCGCTGAATACAGTATATAGTGAAAACATATTTGCACTTCATCACAAAACCGAAATTTTGATGTGCGCATATAATTGTTTCGCGCACTGTACTCTCCCAACTCCAAACTTTTACATGCGGTCAGATTATTACTACTGGGGCGTTTATCCGTTCACTCACAGTAAGTGAATTTTCTGTACTATTGTACACGGCAGTGGGCGAACGGCGATTTCGTGCCGAATGGTTCAGAAAGAACCTTATACGTACTCGGACAAAATGCGCTTACACCTTTCGTGATAGCATGTAAGATTGGTTTGCCCGAAGCGAAAACGCTGCCTTGTATTTTTGTCCAAATTTTATGACTCGCTCAGTAGAAAATTGAATAAAATTGAGAGACGCGAAGTACATTCATCAAGACAAAAGCCAATTATATTGTGTCTGTTCTGTACAGGACAATGGAATTGATCGCTTCACACTTTGGACGCGGGGTTTCTGACGAGCACGCTGATCTACGTACTTGTGACTCCGCGCAAAATCCGTCGTGCTCGCAGCCGAGAAGGTGCTAAGCATGATACAGTATAGCAAATAGTTGCTGATGTGGATGAAATTCCGTGTGAGGATATCAGTTTCTCATACCCAGGCTCCATCCCAATGGTAGGATGCACCAGAAATCGTAGTTTACAGATATCATTCACCGCATCCGGAGGTCATGACCCCGGTCATGTTGGTCTTTGTATGGGTAGTTTAAAATTGATGACTACGGCAAATTATTCGGGAAAATGATGTCGAGCCAATCAACGCAGAGAATTTGGGAAGAACTGCTCACCACTTCAGAAAGGTCAACGACGGGCCATTGCTTGCTTTTCAGCAGCCGATCGTGTTGCCTTGAAGACGACAGACTCGCCGGGGTGATGCCGGGTGCAGTGCATGCGCAAAGCGTCTTTTTGGTTTTCGTTGTACTTGGCTTCACATTTTGGGCAATGGTAGTCCCCATTGTCGTCCTTTGTGATCCCAACTTGTGCCGTCCCCGAGTCAAATTTGAAGATGCAATTTTTGGTGGAACGCAAATACGAACAGACTCTGATAGGCTGAAATCATACTTTCGTGATTGGTTGAAAGCCGTATATTTTAATCTTCTTGATTAGCTATGACCAAAAACAATGAAATCTTGAATATCAAGTGAAAACCTCTCACATTCCATTGTTATCCAGGATATCAATATTTTTGGTTATGACCGCAGTCATAAACCTTTGATAATTTTATGACCAGTCGGTTGATATTTAGTTGTGAATGCACTAAAAAGTTCAAGTTGGTTATTTGACCGTGGGCATTCATCGCTAACCTAAAAATTCTAAAACATTGACCAATGACAGCGCAGTCCTCACCACTTCAGAAAGGTCAACGGAATATATGGTTTCCTGCAAAACCAACGTCGAAATATTATTGCCTTATACAAAAATCAAGATATTCCTTTAGTACCACGGCGAAGGATTTTCGTCGTTCCCTGTACCTCCCTAAAGAATGATGAAGATGAGACAGCCTTAACAGGATTAGTATTACAAAGGACATCTTCTTTTTCACTGAGGGATCCCGAAACCCTCGCAAACACCCATCACATCGCATATTGCATCCGGATAGTGCCCGTGTATTTATTGTATATCCAGGGAAATATCACAATTTGTAAGACGCGAGGGTACCAAAACCACAGCAAAATCGCAAACTCTTGCATTCTTATTGGGCGATGATGAATCAAAAACTTCTTTTCATTGGGTAAAAAATTACTGGTGCCTAGGTCAATGAGAAATACATCACAATTTTGGGTTCCGAACTCATCGGCGTCATGATGGCACGACTGTCAAGTCGTCGCTCCTTGCTTAGAAGACTGCGTGCGTTAAAGCTCCGCACAGCTCTAAAGGAGCGCAACAGAGTTCAAACAGTCTCGTTACCCGCAAACCAGACGGACACTGCATGGTACTACATATATGCCTCGCGTGATACAGCATCGTTTATAGCAACAGTCTCGCTCACTCCCGAAGCTTTTGATGAG